GAAAATGGCAAAACCAGGAGAACATTATAGTCAATTGATTGACGATGATGTTCAAAAGATGGCAATGTTAGAACAGTTAGAATGGATCGGTAATGTGGATGGGGAAGGAAGTACGCTAGTTTTGGATGAAAAATCCGGCGGTGGCTGTAGCTACTCTCGAAGAGTGTTTTATCTTGCAATACTCGTCGCACAAAAGACCGGTTTGTTCGACACTGTTGGGCTTTCCAACCCAAAACTACCATCCATCGTCGGAAGCTCTGGCTTTTGTGAGACCGATGCTGTTTCGTCGCACACTATTATGATTTTACAACTTTTTTTCAGAATTAGAATTTAAATTCGTCAGTTCCTTTTGTTTGTTGTGTTGCTCTGAATTTTTTCCGGTCTTTGACTGTATTAGAGAGAGTGAGTACGCGCGACTGTGTAAGTGTAAAAAACCTAACGACAGAGGAGTGTTAAGGCTTCAGGAGAAATATCGATAGCTTCCGAACCATGGATTTTTAAGATGTCCCTTAGCTTTGCAAGGGACACTTCGGACTATATATGTGTGAAAACAAACCCATAGATTTCTATGTCAGCTTTCGGGGAACCGAACTGGTTTTCCACAGATCTCCTGAAAAACCGATCTTTGAAATTTTTCCAAACTTGTTTTTGCTTACGAGAACATAGCCTCAAATCCTGGCTAGCGATTGATGAAAACTGCAAGTCTCTGTCTTTTATTCCTCTTGAGTTATTCAAAAAATAACCACCGGCCTTGTATTTTAGCGCCGATAATAGTGCAACAAACATTAACCCTCATACGTCCACCTGTAAGACTACCATTTATTACTCACCTGGGGTCCGCATGGACCCCAGACTAATAAAATAGATACAATACGCATTTTAAGTAGCATGCTATGATAGCATTATGTGGTGTATAATTTGCCTCTTACAGACTTAGTAGCTTATAAAAAAGAAACTATATTCTGGACTAAGAACTATGATCTGGACAACAGGGAACATTGCAACTTGAACAGTGAGTAATAAACTTTCGATCACGCTCTCTTGAGCAAAGATGACAACGTTGCTTGACAGTAGCTGTTGAAACAATAGTTGATTGTGAAGTAATGACAGTTAGCCCAATTACTTGTATAGCTATTCGGACGCCCTTTTGAGGTAATAAGGTATACATGTAATATGTATATATTCGTGACGTCATACCAATAGCAGAAAGAAAGAAACTATCTATATAGAATGGCACTGCGCGAAAATATTCGTCATGAAAATATCCAACTTTTAGACATAATTATTTTAAAGAATAACAGATGGCTTGTAAGAGTACTCAAATATACAGGATATGACGTTTTAAAGCCATTGACATGCTTTATAGTTTATTAGATAGCTATAGAAGACTCTCATAGGAGCGGACAAATGTATAAAATATGAGAATGAAAAATTTATAATCAAATAATAAGCAGAAACTAATGTTACATCGTGGGATCCGATTGGACCCCAGGTTGGCAATAAGCGTATATACTACTTTGAGGTAATTTATCTCATAGATGACTAAAGGAGATAAGCGAATGCTTTCTATGATATACTCTACTACTCCTCACTAGAGCATATCTAGAGTGGTATGATATGATCTGCGATCCTATATGAAAAACGTTAGAATGAAACTAGTTGGGGTCCGCGTGGACCCCAGGTGGGCGTTTCAGGGTTAAAAAAGAAAGAAAAACGAACGGAATATTCACATAGCAGAGATTACCAGTCCTACTCTCGAAGACTGTTGACAAAAAAGAGAAAACCAAACTAACTTTCTTAATCCGAAATATGAAAACCTTTGTTTTACTTAACTCAGCAAACTGGTTTTCAACAAAGTACTGATTTTTCAGGCGAAAAAACGGTTTTTTCTTGACCGACTGGCCAAATTAATTTTCTTTCGGCCGACCGGACCAGTCGGTTGCCGGTACCGGTTGTATCTCTGGAACCACCCTCAATGAGGTTGAAACAAAGAAAGCTCACACCTCCCTTTGGATCAGCGGTCGCTAGAGGACTACCCACAATATGTTATGGAATACGTGGATGTACGTCCGTCACACTAATGTTCGAATATCGGTGTTACACTAATGTCATTTCGTACTTCGCAGCGCCATTTATCACTCTGCTTAACCATTGATCACTGTGCTTATCTTTTGGCTAATATCGATCAACAGTAGATGTATCTGGATGGACACGCGTACTCAAAGGCTGCAAGACCCTCGCGTCCGGTGGAGCGAATATGTTGTTTCGCACAAATTCCGCACAAAACAAAATATCCTAGAGAGTTGGAAAATGTTTTTTTTTTAATTTCGTTTAACATAAACCGTTTATTAATATTCGAAATGTGATACTTTAACACAACTCGTTCCGAACCATTTTAAGAGATTTTGACTACCACTTTAATAGGTGGTATGCGCCTTTCTAACGGGTTGTGTCCTTCAGGGAGGAGGGGGTCAAATTTATTTTAAAAACAGCGATTTTCGGGTATAAAACTGTTACTCCCTCTTCTTCGAAGATAGTGAGGGAGTTCCATGAAACTGTGATTTAGAAGCTTTTTTAAGGAATCACGTTCACACGCGCTTTTGCAATATAAAAAATACTCATGAGTATCGAATAACCGAATTGGAGTTTAAAAAAATAAAAACTGTGAGAAAAATTGTTCTGCTATTAAGGCTAGTTCTTGGGAAATAATTGCTGCCACAGCCATGGGCTATGACTGTTAGTGCACAAAAAAATCGACTCCTACATAACTCGACATGCCCTACAAACTGAACTTAGTCAGATATTGCCGACATTTAGTCGATGTATATATTGGAGGAGCTGCGCTGACGCATCCTTCTCGATTGTGTCCGAAAACACACACTCTCATTTTTTCCTCTTGGATCAGCACAAGCGTCCAACTTCTCAGTATGCGGAGAAATTTTTCAAATCACGTGTGCTTCTTTATTGTGTGTTGTTTTAGTATGCCGTACAAGCATTAGAAAACATACGAACAGTTGTAGCCTTAAACCAGGAAAACTATTTTATCACCAAATATCAAAATGCTTTTGATCAAGAATTTCGGTTAGTTAGTTTTAATAAGCTTGAAAGTCGCAGAGAAAAATAGATAGTACTTTTATGACCGTCCTTAACTTCTACGAAATATTTCTCATATGTATTGATGCACTTGTTTAGAAAACTAATATACACACTTCATATACAAGCATTAGGAGCAGCATTTGCTAATTCTGTTGTATACTTTATGCATGCAGCTTGTTTTGGATATGGAAGCAAGCTTGTTCAAAACGGCGAAATGGAATTTTACTCTGTATATCGGTAAGTAAATCGGACATATATACAAAGTACCTAAGATTGTTGAAATAACGTTTTAGCATATTTCTTGTTGTATTCTATGCTGCTCTATCCGTTGGACGAAGCACTGGGATGATACCAGACTATTCCAGGGGTAAAGCTGCCGCTCTTCGAATAATGGAATTGAATAAACGAGAGTCGGCGATTGATCCAAATGATGATGACGGAGTTACACTAGTTAGCCACTCTTCACTACAGTCTATAATAATTCTTCTGAACAATATCTAACTTTTTAGGCAAAAGTACATGGTAATCTTGAATTCAAAGATGTTCAATTCCGTTATCCAGCAAGACCGACACTTCGAATCTTAAAACACTTTTCACTTGCATGTGTGACGAATGGCACTACAGCCCTTGTTGGTCCGTCCGGGAATGGAAAGAGTACATGTGTAGCTCTTCTTGAAAGATTTTATGATACAACTAGCGGCTCTATCCTGTTAGATGGCCACGATATCAGACTCTTGAATCTTCGTTGGTATCGCTCGATAATCGGTTTAGTTCAACAAGAACCAGTTTTGTTTGATTTTTCCATTCGAGAAAATATTGCTTATGGAAGCTGTCCGAAAGCAGTAACCCAAGAAGAAATTGAAGCTGCGGCCCAAATGTCAAATATTCATGATTTCATCAAATCTTTACCACAAGTACGTTTGTGACAGATTCTGAGCTATTATCAGTCGTGTCACTTTTGCGGATATTTTAGGGCTATGACACTATCTGTGGGGCACGAGGAAACCAGATGAGTGGAGGTCAGAAGCAAAGAAGTAAGGAAATGCTCACAGTGAAACACATTCGTTGTATGTGATATCCTATATGTTTAGTTGCAATTGCAAGAGCTCTTGTAAGAAACCCAAAAATTCTTCTGATGGACGAAGCTACTGCTGCACTCGACAATAAAAGTGAACAAGTGGGTGTTGAAAAACTTCAGTGCCTTTGTTCGAGTGTCATCTCCATTATCTTCCATAGATTGTTCAACAAGCGCTTGAACAAGCTCAAACTGGAAGAACATGTTTATCGATCGCCCATCGTTTGACCACGATTCGAAATAGTGAAAAAATTGCCGTCGTTGTTCACGGTAGACTTAGCGAAGAGGTTTGTATACTCTCTTAGCTTAGAAAGCTTTCTCTGTTTCGGTCTTCCATTCGAAATTAACATTATCGTTTCATTTCAGGGTACGCATAATGACCTTATCCAGAAAGACGGAACATATTCGAAGTTATTACTGGCACAACAAAAAGACAGTTAATTCGAAACGATCTGAAGGTCGATAGCAGCTGTATGGTTCTCGAATACGGTGTTCTCGATCGATAATTGCTTTTCGTATTCTACTGTGTTTCATCCAGATACTTTGAAAGGCTCTATTTTGGTTGCCTGTTTAGTCGAACGTACTATGCTTTGTGTAGAGATAAAAATATTACCTTGACGTTTATAGCGGTCTCGTTAGATGCACACTAAAGATGCGATCTAGATGCCTAAACCTTTTTCTTTTAAACCCTGATTCTCCTTTTGAATACGTAATTGATATATAACCTATCTGTTTAATATATAGCCGACTGTAGCCTCACGTTCAATACATAATATTACTATTTGTTCCCTTGATCGGAAGTCTTGGGTCATACAAACGAAATGCATAACCCAAAGTCTTATAGAAATATGGCTAGGACCCGAAGGTGCGGAAGGAATTTACGCTAGGGCCGAAAGTACGGCGGAAAGTTAGGCCCGGATCGAACATCTGGGTCGAAATCCCAGTGCTCCCATTTAGTGAAGGAATAAAGTCCCTATGGTAAACGTGAAAAAAGCCGCGCGAAGCAGCCAGTCCCTAGGTAATCGACTATGGCACATCCGATGGGCGTATGTACGACGTCCCCAACGGATCTCCAAAGAGTCTTCAGGGAAACTTCAGAAACCCTCTTCATTAATATTGTTATTTAAAGCACTCTAAAAGCAAATTTCGCCCAATAGTATTGCTCCTAAAGGTGACCCATAGTGGTTTTCTGGTTCACGTTTGGCATGAAGGTTTGCTTTATAAGTTGAAAACATTCAATATTCCGGACTATGTGATTAACTGGGTGTTGAGTTGGTTAAGTGAACGTCAAGGAAATGTTTCGTGGGGAGGAATGTCTTTTTTTGAACGTGCAATGGGGGACATTCCGGGGCTCACGTGTCAGTCCTCTTCTGTTTCTCTTATTCATCGCGGATATGGATCAATTGTTTCGTGATATCCCTCGTCGGCTATTCGACAGCATTGCATTTTATGCAGGAAAAGGCTCACGATATTTCACGGCGACATAAATATTATTGAATGGTTGATTTCTGTTAATATTAATAAAACTGTTGCAGTGTGGTTCAGTCTGGCGTGGAATAGACAATTTCCGCTAATACATTATAATAACACACTGATTATCTGTAAAAATTTAATTTCTTAGTTGGGTTGTCCGCTGACTGCTAAGTTGCCGTGGCAGCTGTTGATTGATATGCTCCGCAACAAAAATCAGTCAACGAATAAAAGTTCTTTCAGAGCTATTCCGTTTTGGTTACAATATCGATATTGTTTTGCGAAGACGCCTGTTTTTACTTACAGATATCCTTATTATATACTGTGTTTCACCCTTTTCTTCCATTTTCTGATGATTCGACAAACGCAGGTTTGTCGTTCCTATTTTTCGGCATTGCAACGAGTATACGGTTTGTTTCTCGACTATGACACGTTGTTTTTTATCACAGGCGAATTAACTCTGTTGGATAAAGTGTTGAATTTTTGGAAAACCTTACTCGTGTACTGCCCAACATCGATTGATACTGAGAGTATTCGACAATCCTGGGAGATTTATCTTCTTCTACCCTCTTCGAATCGAGTGTATGTGATGCACAGTGCGCATATTAGAATTAACGATTATCATATAAATATTTTTCGCCCCGAATATGCCCGTGTTTTTCCAATTACCTGAAAGTCCTAGCGCGTTCACAACCTGTTCATCAACTCTTTTCAACAGCGTAGAAACAACTAGAACGGTAAGATAAATAGGTAAACAACGAAAATTTGAAATGCTATAAACCACAACATCGTTTTGGAGTAGCATGCTAGAAACTACTTACAGCGAGCGAAAAAAAATAGATACACCTTTCGAATTTTTAACGCTCAATTTTTAAATTAAATTTTTAAAATTTTTACATTTAAAAATCTGGTTTTTGAAATTACAACATTTCTGAAAATTCTCAAAAACTACAGATCCGATAATAGGAAAAAAGTTGGATCTATACATTCTGAAGTGTCATGTACAAAGCACTGAAAAAGCGCTCGTGTCTAGGTACAACTATTTTATTCGTTTGGTATGCCAACCAATAGAAATTCAAGATGCATGACTGGACCTGTGGGCCGCGCCGCTGCCGCCGAAGGCGTCAAAATTTTTTGGACCAAGTCGCCGCCGCCGCCGATGAATAAGTTAGATGTTTGCGCAGCCGCCGAAGGCGTCCAAGTTTTGTGGAGGTTCTCGCCGTAAAAGCTTGCTTTAGTCTTCGCCGATAGAAAAAGTTTTGCGTGAAAAAATCATGAGAAACAGGCGGAATCACTGGTTCAGTATGTCTCTGTCATCTATATCTGCATAGGCATTACCGATATAAGATAAGAATATTTATTAGCCATAATTTCAATGG